ATTCTCATCCACCTCTTTCCTTCTAAAAATCCTCTCATTTCTAGCTAACCAAATTGTCCATACAACAGCAAACCAAATGCAGCTCCAGCCCTTTTTTTTCCCTGCCATTTTAATTACGGAAGAGTGTTGATGGAATACCTTTAAGCAATCTTTGTCAATAGCTGATTTTATCCCCCACCATTTGAAGCATGCATTCCAAAGGTTGTGGGCAACTCTACAGTGGATGAAAAGGTGGCTGGCTTCCTTTGTTTGGCTACCGCATAAGTCACACCTGCAATCCTTTATGCCATGAGTTATACCCCTTTTGATTAAATTAATCTTTGTAGGTATTTTATCCTGTAGCACTTGCCATGAGAATGCTGAAATTTTGTTTGGCACAATTGTGTTCCAGACTTTGTGGAGAGCCATCTCTTGTTGTTCCATTCCGTGCTCCCTTGTGAGTGCTTGGTAAGCTGACTTTGACGAATAATCTCCGTCTTTGCTATGACTCCACTCCCATATATCATATTTTCCTCTTGTGATTGTAATATCTTTGATCATCTTCATGAGCTCTGATACTTCTTGTTCTTCCTAGCTATGCAATCCTTTTCTCCATTCCAAATGCCATGTCCATTTTCCGTTGAGCCACCCTCCCAACTGTGAAATTTTGTAATCCTTTCTTGCAGATAATAAATAAAGCCTAGGGAATTTGTTCGCCAATTGACCTCCCCCACACCAATCATCCCACCAGAATTTAATGCGACCCCCGTCTCCCACTCTAATTTTGAACCCCTCCTTTAACCACCCCTCGTGCTTGCACTCAATAGTGTTCAATCTACATATGTCCCTCCACCAAATTGATCCGTGGCCAATACTCTCCCTCAGCCAATTATAACTAGGTTCTCCCTCCCTCTCATATTTTTCGAAGATCACTTTTTTCCATAGCCCGTCTTCCTTGTTCACTATTGAGTGCAAGCAAGGTAATTAATTGAGGTTAAAGATGGTGGAATATGCTATACAATTATATATATATATATATATATATTCAATAGATTACAGATTACAAATTAAGAATAAGGGAATCAATCTAACCCAAGAGGTTGAAAAGTTTACCTATAAAGAGTGACAAAACTATTGTACTGAGAAGGCTAGGTGCATATAGTTATAATTTATTTAGAAAAAAATTGTTGTGTACTTAAAGTGATGCAATAAAAATTATTAAATAAAAATGAAAATTTTAATATTAAGAGTTATTTTTTATTTAATTATTTTATTTTATAATTTAATATAGTTTAAATTATAAATTAAAAATGTCTTTAAAAAAATAATTTATCAATAAATACAAAATAAAAAGTAATTATTAAATAATATTTTTTTTTGTTTTGAAAAAAGTGTAATTACATTAATTTATTTTAATTGTAAATATTATGTATCACTTTTTTATTAGTCTATTTAAAATTATAAGTCAAAACTTACAAAA